TTTTTTTTTTTTTTTTGTAGAGGCAAGAGTCTTACTTTATCATCCTTGGTAGAGTGCAGTGGCGTCACACAGCTCACAGCAACCTCCAACTCCTGGGCTTAGGCGATTCTATTGCCTCAGCCTCCTAAGGACTACAGGTGCCCACCAGAATGCCTGGCTATTTTTTTGTTGCAATTTAGCCAGGGCCAGGTTAGAAACCGCCACCCTTGGTATATGGGGCCAGTGCCCTACCCACTGAACCACAGGCGCCACCCCCAGTTTTTCTATTTTTAATAGAGATGGGGTATCGCTTTTTGCTCAGGCTGGTCTTGAACTTGCGAGCTCAAGCAATCCACCCGCCTGGGCCTCCCAGAGTGCTAGGATTACAGGGATGAGCCACCGCGCCAGGCATCTAAATACTTTTTTTGAATCCAGTTTCCTTCACTTCAAGAGTCTAAGAGTTCCTGTCCCAGATGCCCAGGGTCCAGAGCTCCTGACCTTCCCTGGTGATGATTCTTAGCCAGGACAGACTTTTCAGGTCTGCAGCTATGGGTTAGAGTGGCCAGAGACCACTGTTGCCTACATCTGCAGCCCTGGTCCCTGAGAAAGGCAGGTAGGGAGGACTATGTGAAAGTAATACTGCCACTAGCTTGCTACAGAGGATTGTGCCTCTGTACCCAAGTCTCAGATGGGGACACTGAGGACCAGGGAAAGGGGTTGGCCTGGGCATCTGTAGCCTCCCTTCTATGCCCTGGGGTCTGTGCTCACTATCCTACTGTGAAACACTAGAGCACATCCACAGAAAGAAGGCATGGGTTGTGCATAGTTAACACAGAGCTGCACACCAAGAGAGGGGGACACTGTAGCTCTCAGACACAGAGCTTACAGACACCATAACAAGGGCCCATAGCCCAACAATTTTAGAGACACAGCTCTCCAACTTGAAACTCCTCAACAAGGTGCAGTGGCTTGTGCCTGTAATCTCAGCATTTCAAGAGACGAAGGCAGGAGGATTGCAAAGGCCAGGAGTTTGAGTACAGACTGGGCAATATAGTGAGACCCAGTCTCCTCAAAAATGAAAACAAGCAAACTCGCCAGGCCTGGTGGCGTGCACCTGCAGTTGCTGCTACTCAGGAGTCTGGGATAGGAGGATTGCTTGAGCCCGAGTTTGAGGCTGCAGTGAGCAGTAATCATGGCACTGCATTCTAGCCCAGGCAGCAGAGTAAGACTGTCTCTAAAAAAACAAAAAATGGAAAAGAAAACCACAACTCACATCAAAACTTCAGACATAAATGCTTGCACACATAACTCTCAAACACACTGCTCCTCAGATATAAATCTCTTCAGACACACAATACCATTAAGAGTCACAACTCCATGGACACACAACCCTAAGACACAGTACCCCTTGGACAACACACTTGCACATATAGACTCTCAGAAACACAATCCCTTGAACACGCTCTTCAGACTTATACACTCCTTCAGACACACAACTGCCGGAAACACAACTTTCATGCTTAACACCCCAGGGACACTACCCCTCTGACGCACAGCCAACCCTGGAACGCACAGTAGCACATCTGGAACGCACAGCAGCACATCCGGACCTATAACCAAATCCAGCCCACAGAAACCATTCAGAGGACACTGCACGAGTCTCGACGTGACACGCACCTGCTCTGCCGGGTCACTCGGACACGCAGCACTCGGAATTTGCAGCGGCTGCACAGAGCTCTCAGAGCCGGCAGCTAGATGCCTTATGAGTGGGCAGCCCGGCTCCCGAGGCTGATTGGACGAGGCGAACTTATTTGCATAGAGGGAGGTGCCATAGGCTGTGATGGGCGGGCACTTGGGCCGGAGACTCAGAAGACGCTGGTGGGGGGCGCTATAATGAGGAAGGACAGGGGCGAATGGGGGTGTGAGGGGAGGCTGGATGAGACAGGCCAGGCTTTTCCGGCCCTCACTAAGAGCACTTGACTTTACTGCTGACCCCTGACCCTACTGTTACCCTGACCCTAACTTGGACCCCGTTTCTAACTTTTCCATTGCTAGGCCCATCTTTGAACTTGCTCTACCCTGAATGTGAAATGTAACTCCTATTCCAGACCCTGTCAGCTCCAGGAACCAATTCCTTCTCACAGGCAAAGCTGACCCTAGCTTACACCTAAATGGAGGGACTGTAGAAAGGCACACCAGGGTTGCCTGTGTGACCTTGCTGTGCCTCCATAGGAAGAAGACATACCCTCTGCTGCTGGTTCAATGACCCAGCCTCATTACCCTGCCCCCACAGCCATGCCCCTGTCCTTTTTGCTCCCTGCTGGCCACTTCAAAGGTCAGCTGCGGGGCGGGGGTGGGGGGGGGGGAGGCTTTCCACCACTAGACCCCGTGCAGACTCTAAATCTCTCCCTGCTCTGGGATCCCAGTATCACACAGTGCACAAGGCCAGACCCAGAGGAGGAACAGAGAGAGGGCTTGGTGAGTGAATCAATGTGAAAAGAAGTAAAGGACGAAGATGGCTCTGGAGAAGCAATCCTGGAGGAGCCCCCAGTTTGGGGAGGCAGAGCCTCTACCTACTCTCCCAGCCCTGTGAGGTCAGGCCTGGACTAGTGGAAGGGATAGGAAACTGGGACAGACCAGAATTGGCTGTGCCAAAAGGGTCAGAGGTGCTTCCTAGAATGGGGGCATTTGTACTGAGCCTTCAAATATGAGTAGAGTTTGTCATTGGGAAAAGGTCTTTCAAAAGGGAATAGCACTTACAAAGGCACAGAGGAAAAGTACAGAGCATCCTTTGGTGTGGAGTGGAGCAAAATGAGATAAAGCTGAATTGGAGTTAGATCAGGCTGGGAGCTTTGGCAGGGGCTCAAAGGTGGGGAGGAAGGGATCACATTGGGGCAGATGCAGGGAGGAGAGGTGGGTTGTAGTGGCTGCCTAATGTTTATCTCCATAGGAGACAAGAGGTGGCTAGACCCCTAAACTCAAGAGTCACATGTGGGAGATGCCAGTCTATGGGGAACAGGGGACCTAGGGAATGACAGGGAACAGGGGACCTAGGAGGCTTGTCTCTCCCAGCACTTCAGTTTACCTGTGACATGGGCAGCTTGGACCTCTAGTCTGGACACAACTTTCTCTTTAGATGTAAAAACTAAGGTCCACACTGTGTTATCAGTAAGTCTCCCTCATTCTCACTTAGTGCTCAATGCCACATACTCAGATGTCCCAAAGACACACCAGGGCCAGGACCAGGGCCAGGTTGGGGGCTTCCATCTTGGCTCCAAGGTGCAGAATGAGACTGGGGAGTGTGAAGGTGGCTGGGGAGCCCGGGGCCCCCCAAGGGCTGCTCTGTTTACCCGCTGCTGCCCGTCTGCCTCTGATGCAACAGGCAGGCTCTGGTTACGTGAGGGTGGCAGCTGGGCTAGCTCTGGGAGCAGCCGGGTGTGGTGGGAAGGGCTGGCTTGGTAGAGCCGAGATTGCTAGAGCTGCACCCACATTTGCCCCGACCCTCTACCTGCTCCCCCATTGGACTCCCTCCTCTGTTCCTGCCTCCCCACCTCCACTCCCTTCCTATTCTCATCAGCACCTCCTTTCAGCAGGGTTATCCAGAGTCTCCACCTTGGTCTTCTAAGATGAGACCTTTGGTTGCTGGAATAAGAGGGTGAAGTTGAAGGGGAATGTTGAGGGATACTGGGAAGGGCACCAAGGAGATGGGGGTAGGTGGAGGAGGAGGCAGGAGTGTGGGGGTAGAACCCCCTTCCTCTCCCAGAATGTCAGTGGGGAAGACTTTTTTTTTTTTAAGAGACAGTCTCACTTTGTCACCCCCGGTAGAGGGCTGTGGCTTCATAGCTCACATCAATCTCCAGCTCTTGGGTGTAGGCAATTCTCTTGCCGCCGCCTCCCTAGTAGCTGGAACTACAGGCACCTGCCGCAATGCCCAGCTATTTTTTTGTTGCAGTTTGGCCGGGGCTGGGTTTGAACACACCACCCTCAGTATATGGGTCTGGTGCCCTACTCACTGAGCAACAGGCACTGCCCAGTGGGCAACACTTTGAAGGACCTTCCATGGCAAGAACAGTGTGCCCAGTGGGCAGGTAGGAACCCCAGAATTAGAGAACCCCGAGTCCCCAACCTAGTATTGCCACCATCTTGCTGTGTTACCTCAGGCCAGTCACTCACTGTTCTCAACCTCTTTGCCCATGTGAGGAGTGGGGACAATGGTAGCCCCTCTTCCTGATGGATTGAAACATTTCAAGGCCCACATACAATGTTCCCTCCTCTAACAGGTTTTCCTATCCTCCTGTTTGGGGCCTCTCCAGCCCCATCCCTTCTTCTGGCCCAGAACTGACCCAGGGGGTTGGAGGTATACATGTCCAGCTTTGTCTTCCCCAGCCTGGAGGTTCTTTGGAGCCAGGCCCAGTGCATAGTGGCACCAAAGAAGTGTCTCCATGGATTTCTTGAAGAACTGGAGAGTCCCAGAAAAGGTGTGAGTGGTGGAGAGGTAGGAGACCAAGTTTGGGGCACCCAGGGGCCTTGTGGGGGATACAACAGAGTTAGGAGGGGCTTCCCAGGAGTCTGAGTGTGCAGGATTCTCCAGGAGGGCAGAGTAGGCTTAAAACAAAAACCAGGGCTTGGACAAAGGGCTAAGGACAAAAACACAGACACCCTAACCACTGCAGACTGAGGTCAGGTCGCTGCCCTCTAGGGGGTCTCCTTTTACCACATCCACAGATTTAAAGGGGCCCATTCTTCACTCATCCCTCCCAGATAATCTTTAGCCTTGTAGGTGACAGGCTTCTGCTTGAATGCCCCATGGCACGAGGAGCTCACTGCCTCTTTTGTGGCCGAGAGCAAATCCTATTAAGCTGGATCTGGGAGTGCCCTTGCCCTCCAGCTTGACAGCAGAGGCTCGCGCTCTTATTCCCAAAGATCTGTTGGGTGATCCAGCCTCTTGGAGCTTCAGTTCACTCTGAAAAGGTGGAGCGCGGGCATATAGAGGGAAAAAGGGCGGGGAGATGTGTTCAGCAGGATCAGCCGGTTTCGCGTACAATGACCGCTTCGAAGCTGAGCTCGCTGCCAAGGCGTTGCCTCTTGCGCCTCCTGGAGGCAGGATTGGGCAGGGCGCCCTTCAATCGGAAAAAGCAAATTGGACACGCAAATGAGGTGCAAATTACCAGCATGCCTCCCTGTGAGCACTGGAAATCAGGGTGGCGAGGTGGGCGACTGTCCAGAATCCTGCTCAGTTCCCTTTAAAAGGAGAGTGCTGGCTCGGCGCCTGTGGCTCAAGTGGCTAAGGCGCCAGCCACATACACCTAAGGTGGCGGGTTGGAATCCAGCCGGGGCCGCCAAACAACAATGATGGCTGCAACCGAAAAAAAATAGCCAGGCGTTCTGGCGGGCGCCTGTGGTCCCAGCAACTTGGGAGGCGGAGGCAGGAGACTCGCTTGAGCCCAGGAGTTGGAGGTTGCTGTGAGCTATGCAACGGCACTCTACCCAGGGGGACAGCTTGAGGCTCTGTCTCAAAAAAAAAAAAAAAAGGAGAGTGCTATCTAGCCGCTAGCTGAGGTTGCATTCACCCTCACATGAAGCCACGAAGGGTCTGGGACAACCCATGACTATATCCCCATTAACTCCCAGCTCCCCAGTGCAGCTGGGATATATGTGATGATCTCACAGAGCTGTGGGAGCAGGGCTGGCCTGTCTTGCCCATTAGAGCATTCCCCTGGTTCACAGAGAGGACCTTCTCTATCTCCTCTAGGGGCGCCCAGGCCCTTGCCATCCCTCTTCCCTCAACAACCCTGTAGGATCAAGCTGGGGTATCCCCCCAGAGCATTGGGTCTGGGACCCACTCTGGCTACATCCTGGACAATTCTATTGTGACCATACAGGCACATGGCTGCAGAAATAGACTCAAAGCAAATTTTGCACTCTTTTGCAATAGACTCAAAGCAAATTTTGGCAAAAATAATAATTCAGGTGCTCATGAAACTGGAGAATTAAGATTGGCTAGTATCAGCTACAGCAGAACCCAAGGCTGCACACAATGTTCTCTGATGACCCCCTCCCCCCAGCCACCCAGTTCAAGCACCTTGGCAAGAAGACAGTTTCTTCCTTTCCCTTGCTTTTAGCAGTATTCCCAGGGAAGCCCTTTCATGGGGTCATATGCCCATCTAGAACCAATCACTGTAATCTGGGAGATGGTGGGGGTGGGGGTCTCTGTCTTCTCCACATGGTCTGAGCCTGAGGCAGAAGTTGCTGCTCAGGGTAGAACACAGTTCAGGCTGGTGAGTTCCAGAGTGTCCACATCAGCCTGTAGAGATGGTTCAGTCCAGACTTCCTTGTCCAGATGCAGAAAGGGAAACCAGAGAGGGTTAGCGCCAGGCCCTACATCACGTCAGTGGTAGGGCTAGGACCAAGTCAGGCTAGGTTCTCCTCTTCTCTAGCTGTGTGACCTGGTGCTGCAAGTCAAAGGCTTCTTTGGGATAGGCTTTCTTTTCCTATCTGTATTGGGGCGGGGGGGGGGGTGAGACCTGCTTTATGGGGCTGTCTGAAGATGAAATGAGATTAGTCTCATAAAGGCTCCAGGACAGTCCTGGGCACACTGTGGGTACCTGATCAGGATTATGGAGGTAGCAGTTTTTGGTCCAATAGATCACGTCCATGCCTGATGGAGGTTAGGTTAAGAGTCCAGGTGCAGCAAAGCCACATCTGGGGACATCCACAGCTGGACTTGGAGGCTCTGGGCAGGAGCAGGAAGATGCTAGTCACACTTGCTCAGTTTTTGGTCTCTTTCAGCCTCCACAAGGCTGTGTCCACTTTTGGTCAGGCTTGGGGGTGAGAGGCAGGGTGTGGCCTAATAGGCAGACCCAGGGGATGAGGTGGTAACTGAGGGAGAAGCCCAGCTAGGCCAAGGACAGGGTGAAGCTGAGTGTCAAGCTGGACATGGTGGCTCATGCCTATAATCCTGGCACTTTAGGAGGCTGAAGTGGGTGGACTGCTTGAGCTCAAGAGTTCAAGACCAGCCTGAGCAAGAATGAGACTCTGTATCTACTAAAAAGAAAAATAGAAAAACTATCTGGGCATTGTGGCAGGCACCTATAGTCCCAGCTACTCAGGAGGCTGAGACAGATGATTGCTAAAGTCCAAGAGTTTGAGGTTGCTGTGAGTTGTGAAGCCACGGTATTCTACCCGGGGCAATGGAGTGAGACTCGTTCTCTCAAGAAAAAACAAACCTCAGGGTCAAAGGGTCTGGGGTGGGGGGAATCCTGGCACATATAGGAAGGCTGCCTTACCTTTCTAAACCTGTTTCATCTTCCATAAGCAGGGAAGTATTTGGGGTTCTGAACCTGGAGAGGTAGGTGACAATTTGGCCTGTGAAGGTCACTGGTGACCCCAAAGGCAGCAGCTTTGCAGAAAGATGGGGCTGGAAGGCCCTGAAAGGAGCAAAGAGGTGGCAGTTCTGGGGACAGAAGAGGGGTCTGGGCTTGGTGCCTGTGGCTCAAGTGGCTAAGGCGCCAGCCACATACACCTAAGGTGGCAGGTTCAAATCCAGCCTGAGC